CTCGTGCCCTTGAAGAATGGACGCACACCCCTCAGCACCTGAGATCACCCAGGAGTTATGCTTCTGCCGCCAGCAGCAATGAGGAAAAGTAGACAGAGAGGTTAAATGACTTTGCTAGGGGCTCCCCAAAAGTCATCAGCTGAGTTTGAGATCACATGCAAGGGCTTTTCCATCTCTGCCTGCTGCTCAGAGTGGAGCCTTCTCTTTGGCCAATCCCAGCATGCACCAGCCTGAGGAATGAAGCATGGAAAAAGAGATGGGGTTGGGAAACAGGGGCACCGTTCTTGGGATCAGTTCTCTGCCTCCCTGCCAACCACCTCATTTTGACCCCATATTGCTGGCAATGTTCAGGTGGATGGGAAGGCAGGAAGCAGGTGCCTCTGTTGTCAAACCTAAAGAACCAGAACACAGTCCCTGCAGATCGGATCTTGTGTGATCTGATCCATTCACAGAGTATCTGCTGATGGCCCATGAGGAGGTAGGCCTTCCCAGGCACTGGGGACGTGGCAGTGAGCACTGTGCAGCACCACAATCCCTGCCTTCCCTGGGGAGCTCCTGTCCTAGTGGGGCGGGGGGGGGGGCAGTTACAAATGGTATGCGAAGTGGCAGTAAGTGCCCCAAAATGAGACGTGAGAGGTAGGGGTTACAGATAGGGCAGGCAGATGACATTTGAGCCTGGGTGCAAACCAGACTGACAGCGTTTGGGGAGGAGGGCGCAGGATGCCTGGCTCGTGAGCAACAGCAAGGAGCCAAAGTGCTGGAGCGGAATGAGCCGGGAGAGTGGAAGGAGTGGGGATGGCAGGTCATCCCTACAGACTCTCTAGGGCTATGACTCAGGGTGCAGGGGTAGGGTCTGGCCGCTGCGTGGAGGACAGAGCGAAGGAGCAGGGGAGGGGGTCCCCACCGTCCCCTAGATGAGAAGATGGGGCCTTGGCCCACCGGTCACAGTGAGGTCATCAGACAAGATCAGATCCTGAATACGTTGTGAGGGAGAGCTCTGCTTCCTCACCCCATGGGGACTGGGCTTTTGTTTTGTTTTCTGGCTTGGGTTTTGTTTTCTTTCCTGAGGATTATCCAAGGCAAATACATATGAAGCTTCCGAGCTCATGGCTAGCTCTCGAAGCCTGGGAGCTGGTGTTCTGACCCTTGATCGGTGCGGACCTTGGCCTTGGCGCACCTCTCAGCCTGAGCAATGTGCGGGGCCCGTGACCACATGACCTCAGCAAGGAGGCAACCAGAGCGAGGGGCCCCCAGAACCCTCGCCGGGCTTCGGGGGCCTCAGGCGAGGATGGGCTGTGGGCGGGACGGCCCGGGGAGGCAGTCGAGGGAATGTGCCAGGGCGCCCCCCGCTAGCGGTTCTGGGATTGCTCCTGGGGATGGAGTCGGCCCTGGAACCACCCAGGTGAGGTATAGAGGGGCACCCAACTTCCCTGCCCTATTTTCGACATGCCACCTCGCCACGGAGCCTCCAAGCCAAATATATTTTCCGCCACACTTAGGTTTTGACACACAAACAGCTTAGACCAGAAATATGTCAGCCCAGAATTGACTAACCATTAACTTTTCATAAGCAACTCAGGTATGAACCCTTTATGACTCTGTTATGACACAGGACAAATCAGCTATCTGCTGTTTTATTTTTATTATTGAAGCTTCCACAGAGTGATAGGAATGGGGCTTTTTTAAACAGAGCAATGCTTCAGAGAAAAGTCGCTGGGCTCTGGCAGCCCTCTGCAATATTTTACTCTGGTGGGAGTGCTGTCGTGTGGCTTTTTCCTGATAATGAAAGCGGGCTGCGTGCCTCTGCGCTCCACCTTGCCCTGCAGCACCACCACCACCACCCCCACGCCCTCCCCAAGCTTCTCTCTGGGCCCGCACTCCCTCACCGGGCTAATTAGCCAAAAAGCATCTTCAAAGGACTCAAGATGGTGGCAGTGAGGCCCTTCAGGATGTGAGCAAGGCAGAGGGTCAGGGAGCTGCTCCATGGCAGCTCTGGCACAGCTCTTGTGCCACGGTGACTGGTGGCCTTCCCTCCCTCCCGCCACCAGATGGCTTCTGTGGAGAAGGGCACAGGGGCAAGAGGGGTGGTTTGGTGTTGGCTCCAGGGGGTCAAGAGGAGTTTTGCATGTCCTGTTAATAATAATAAGTGATACCCTACGTATGTCATGCTTCCCACGCTGGGGAAAGTATTCACGTGTGTTCTCTTGCCAGATCTCCTCAGCACCCCATGAGGCAGGCAGGTACATGGACTGTCCACCACTTGCTGGTGGAGGAACCAGAGCCCAGAGGGACAAGGGGACATTTGGTCAGTGACAGAGTTCAACTAAAATCTGAGTCTCCGGAGTCCCATGCCAGGCTTCCCCTCACCCTCAGCCAGCGCGGCTGGCAGTGCACCACCCTGTTTCTCACCAGGAAGCCAGGACTTCCTCTGTCCCTGTCGGCTCTGGGCACCACCCCTCAAAGATGTCAAGGAGCTAGCTAACCCCAAACCTGAGGAGGAGCCTCCCGGAAACACAGGGTAATGCCACTCTCCAGCATGTCTGCAGGGGGCACCTGGCCAGGGCCCACGCCATGTGCAGGTCTGCAAGAGCACATGCACCTAACCGGAAAGGCCCTGGGGCAGTGCTTCTCAGCCGGGGGGCTTATCAGGGCACTCTGACCCCCGGCATCCGCCCCCCTCAACTATTTCCCTTCTCTGGCTGTTTTGTTTGCCTTCATTTTCCTCAGAGTTCTGTCTCCCTTCATGGGTTATCCAGGTCTCTGCAAGCCACCTAGAATTATTTTGGGATGAAGGTAGATTTGACCCAGTGGTAGGCCATCTACCCCCACAGGCCCAATCTGTCCCACCACTTATTCTTTTAAATAAATTTCACTGGGAGCGCCTGAGTGGCTCAGTGAGTTAAGCGTCTGACCCTTGGTGTTGGCTCAGGTCGTGATCAGGGTAGTGAGATCCAGTCTCTCCTTTAGCTCTGGCTCAGCCCCAAGTCTACTTGGAACACTCTCTCTCTCTCTCTCTCTCTCTCTCTCTCCTCTCCCTCTCCCTCTCCTCTCCCTCTCCCTCTCCCTACCCCCCCCCACCCCATTTGGTCATGAGCTCGCTCTCTCTAATAAATAAATCTTAAAAATAAATAAATCTCGTTGGAGCTTATGGATGCTCATTAATTTATGTATTATTATGGTTATCTATGTGGTTCAAGGCAGAGTTAAATAGCAGAAACTCTATGGCCCATGAGGCCAAAAATATTTGCTATCTGTCCCTTTAGGGAAAAAAATTCTTGTTTTAATTCCAGTTAGTTAACACAGTGTTGTATTAGTTTGAGGTGTACGGTATTGTGAGTTGGTACTTCCATACATCACCTGGTGCTCGTCACCGTGTGCTCCTTCATCCCCAACACCTATTTCTCCCATCCACCCACTCCCCTCTCCTTGGTAACCATCAGTTTGTCTTCTGTAGTTAAGAGTGTTTCTTGGTTTGCCTCTTCTTATTTTTTTCCTTCACTTTTTTGTTTAGTTTCTTAAATTCCACATGAGTGAAATCATATGGTATTTGTCTTTCTCTGACTTATTTCACCTAGCATTCTACTCTAGTTCCATCCATGTTGTTCCAAATGGCAAGATTTCATTCTTTTTTTATTGCTGAATAATATTCCCTTGTATATGTACCACATCTTTAGCCATTCATCAGTCAGTGGACACTTAGGCTGCTTCCAGAACTTAGCTATAGTAAATAATGCTGCAGTACACACAGGAGTGCATGTATCCCTTTGAATTAGTGTTCCTGTGTTCTTTGGGTAGATACCCTGTAGTATGGTTACTGGATCCTCATCACCTGTTTCATTCATCCCCCCAGGCTCCTCCCCTCTAGTAACCATCAATTTGTTCTGTGGAGTTAAGAGTCTGTTTCTTGGTTTGCTTTTTTCTCTTTATTTTCCCCTTTGCTAATTTGGTTTGTTTCTTAAATTCCACATGAGTGAGATCATATGGTATCAGTCTTGTTCTGATGTACCTCACTCAGCCTTCTACTCTAGATCCATCCTTACTGTTGAAAATGGCAAATTTCATTCTTCTTTGATGGCTGAATAATATCCCATTGTGTCTGTGTACCACATCTTCTTTATCCACTCATTTGTTGACAGATACTTGGGCTGTTTCCATAGTTTGGCTATTGTGGACATTGCTGCTAGAAACATAGGGGTGTGTGTATTACTTTCATAGTTTTATATTCTTTGGGTAAATACCTAGTAGTGCAACTGCTGGGTCTGCAGGTAGTTCCTAGTTTTAAGTTTTTGAGGAATCTCCATACTGTTTTCCAAAGTAGCTATACCAGTCTACATTCCTACCAACAGTGCACGAGGATTTCTTTTTCTCCACATCCTTGCCAACACCTGTTGTTTCTTGTGTTGTTGATTTTTAGCCATTCTGACAGGTGTGAGGTGATATCTCATTATGGCTTTGATTTGCATTTCCCTGATAAGTGATGATGAGCATCTTTTCATGTGTCTGTTAGCCATCTGTATGTCTTCTTTGGAGAGATGTCTGTTCATGTCTTCTGCCCATTTTTTAATTAGATTATTTGGTTTTTGGGTGTTGAGTTTTATAAAAAAAAAAAAAAAGCTTGCCAGCCCTACACAAGGCCATCCTGCAGAGCTTCTCAGCAGGTGGACAAGAACCCCCAGGAAACCTGCCAAGCAGGCTCAGGATTAGTAGGAGGAATAGGTGAGCTCCAATCTTAAAAAGTGAGAGCAGCGAGCAGGGAAGGTGTTCCAATCTGGCCACAGAGGTGAATGAGGCCTTAAGTGGATATACAAGTTCCAGGCAGACAATAAGGAAGACCAATGAAGTTCCTGTTGCCCAGGCCGGCACAGCCCTGCAGGCAGCTCTGGCTGAGCAAGGGGGCTCAGCTGCAGGGTTTGTTTTCCTGCAAAAGCGGGACAACTGGCTCTCCTTCCCAGCCTACTTAGTAGAGAGGCCAACCTCATTGTCTTCCTCACCCTGTGCAGGACTTCGGAGAGGACAACTCCCTCTACATCACCAAGGTGACCACCGTCCACATGGGCAACTACACCTGCCACGCCTCCGGCCATGATGAGCTCTTCCAGACCCACGTCCTGCAGGTGAATGGTTAGTAAATGGCTCCATGCATGTCGTCCCCTCAAAGCGTTCCCAAAATGCTGCTCACAGCAACCCTTCCCACTTCTATATTCTATCTGAAAAATGTGTCTGAGCCCAATAAAACCCATCTCTCTCAGAAGTAAAGGGAGCAGTGGAGAAAGGGCAAAACCAGCCAACTAGTTTCTCTGGCTTCACCCAGAAGCTACCTCTGATGAAGTGATAGTGGTGGTGGTGGGGGAGGGGGTGAGTCATTTGGGCTAGTCATGCTCAGCAGCTGAGGCTCTAGCAGAACCCTGTAGAATGTGCCCTGCCCATGCCACAGTGACAGCCAGCAGCTGCGCTCTTGGACCTTGTGAGTAGCAGACGCTGTCTAAAACACACCACTGCTCTTCTGGGTGCTATGCACCCATATCACTTGGCCAGGGAGGCAGGACTTCCTCCAGCAGGGGCTGGTTCCCATCTCCCTCCCCAAAAGGCTCACCAAGCCTCCACTTGGCCTGCTAAGACAGAACCTGAACAGGCTCAGGAGGTTTTCGTTGCTTCTCAGGGACCCCTGTGTTGCCAGGACTCCTAGAGGCTGGGAATAATAAACCCCTCCTGATGACAACTCCTGATGACAACACCAACGATTAAAATAATGTTTTCTAAGCACTTACTCTAACCAATCCCTGTGCTAACACATCACGTGCACTTTCCTAGTCAGTATGTCGTTTCAACTCAGGTTATGGAGAAATCTCTAGGTAAGGCCATTGGTCTGGAGTCACACCACTTCCTAGACCTGGGACTGTGCTTTGACCTCTGCATCACACTGCTGACTGGCCCATCCTGGCCTCTCCAGCCCTCAGAACAAATAAGCCATCACAATGCAAAGCAGATCAACACCCGAGAGAAGTTAGACTCGCCCAGCCAGGCTGGCCTCAGGCCTAGCACTAAGCAGGGTGTTCTTGTGTCAGTGTGGAAACTTCAAGTCAGCCCTAGAGCATCTGTGCCAGCTGGTACTCAGGGCTTCTGCTCTGAGATAAAGTGAGCAAGGTGTTAAGAATAATTACATAATGAGGCTCAATTTCACTTAACTCTGGAACCAGGGTAACAAGCCATTAAGGACACCTGGGTGAGCTCAGCTGGAGTCTACATTTACCCTACAGGATGTTTGAGGGATTTTTATAACTATACATAGCTAACCCATATCTTCGTATTTCCCTTGACCTGGGACGTATTTAATTGGGGTTTTGTAGCTGTGCTCACAGGCTTGAATGCAGGCCTGTGATAATGTCACTGGATTCCCGCAGAAATAACCCAGGAGTTTCTAGTTATGACAGCCCCTGGGGGAGTTAACCCCACCTCAGTTTAGGGCCAGTGTGAAGTGTGGCCAGCAGGCAGTATGCAGGGCTCTCCTCCAGCAGGGGCAGAGCGTGTGCTTTGCGGTGGGAAAAGGGCTTTTCCATCTGAAACTGGCAAGTGGTGCCCAGCATGGTACAGTGTTGGTGACTGGTTGGGAAACAGCTCTATGTGGTTTGTCCCAGGCCCCTCAGGTCCTCAGACAAGCCTGGAGAAGGGAAATGAACCAATATTCACAGATTTTTAATTCTGCCCTTTGTATCCTGCCCTCACTTCACAAGAATGGCGGGTGGGCGGGGTGCAGGGAGTGGGGGGCAGGTGCCACAGGGAGATGGCTTGAGCCTTGTCCCCTTTATTTCCTCCAAATGACGTCTCTCAGGGGAGGGGAGCCACCTGCGGAGGGGGAGGGACCTGAGTATGTCACAGGTAAGAGTCTATACTCGCCTCAGGAAGAGACTCTGGTCCTAGGTGCCTTCATACACTAAGTGGCAAGTCCATGGTGCTCGGGGTGCCCTTCTGCCCCATGCTGCCCAGAATTCTGAGACTGAGGTCATGATGTGGATGAGCCAGTTTGTCACTCCCAGCTCTGAATCTAAGAGCAAGGCCCGGACCCAGAAGCACCATGAGGGATTGCTGGGCCTCTCCCACCAGGTGTGAAGCAGGCTGTGCAGCTGGCATTGGAGAGTCCTGTTCACACCATCCCCAGCCACCTCTCACCCCCACCCTGGAGCTCTGCCATTATCCAGTCTCCAACGAGGATGCTTTTGACCCAAGGGAGTCCACATATATCAAAACCTCCCATTGGGAACCAAAAGAGGCCACTTGAGATCCATTTCCTAACTGCTGATGGATTGAAGGCTTCTCTTCCATTGGAAGCACTATCAGCAGTCGGAGGGAACATGCTGGGACCTCTATACTTTGTGATAGTGTCCTATGTCATTAATTTGGCCCCTTGAGCTTAGCTCCCATGACAGCCAGACAAGGTCACTTGGGTGGCCCTAGCTCCAGTAGCCCACAAGGTTCCTGGGCTGGGCCGACTCCCAGGCACTTGGGGGTGATGTGGGGGACCACTAACCAGCCCGCTCAAGGGCGCGCCATACTAAAGTATGCCTGGAGTTGCCTCCCAAGGACAGATGTCCACTGCCTGCTGACCTGGGAATAAGATGCAAGGCTTTCCAAGTATTTTAGAAGTTAGGTTGCTGTGTTGGGGAGAGAGAAGGGAAATGTCCTATGTAGGAAGATGGGAAGTTGTTGAAAATAGAATGGTATGAAAGAGACCATTATGATAGCTTCTACTGAACACCTCCTGTGTGCCATCCCTGTTTCAAGGTTGAGGTAACTAGCACTCAGAGAGATGCAGTGATCTCAGGATCCCAGGACCCAGCCCTGCAGTTGCCAAGCAGATTTTGACTCCAGAGCTCAGACTCCTGACACCTGCCCTGCCCCTACCATACCCATCCTTACCCAGGGCACGGTGTTACTGCTATTGGAGAACCTGGGTGTCGGATACAGATGTGGTCATTCAGCAGCTCAGCGTTGGGCTGCAGCGGACTACACCCTAGGGAGGGCAGGGGATGGGCACCCTGCCTCATTCCCCTCTGCCCCTAGTGCTGCACTCAAGCCTGGCTGGAAACAGCTGGCATCATGAGCACATGATGACCAGGCCACAGCAGTGACCCCTGCCTCAGTGGAACTGAAGTTGGCAAACCGTGTGGCTCATGGGGGAGAGAAGGGGGAGAGAAATCAGCAGCCAAAGTTACCTGGGGCATTTGTTCCCTTTTGCCATTCATCCCAAGCATGATTGAAAACTATGGAAAAGGTCCCTGAGCTGCCAGGGTGAGATATGGTGTGGTGCTCAGCGGTGCTATTGGAGGTCTGGTTTGATCCCCACTTGGCCTGGCAGGTGGCCTGTGGCCTACTAAGCTGAGGCAGCATCTGGGGCACACCGCGAGCGATGTTCCGTGTCTGTTCCCCCAGATAGCTTCTCCTCAACCAGAGAGAAGGGGCTGGAAATGCAGAAGGGCAGAGAGAGGGCCCTGCCCAGTTACCTGCTTCTCGGAAGGCTCCAAGCAAATGACAGATGTCCTGGGGAGCTCATGTGCGACCTGGGAGCCCAAGACCCAGAGCTAGCACTCCAGGGAGCAGGAGCCGGGTGGGGGCTTCTCTGCTCTAGGCCCGGTGCAGACCTGAGCTGGCAACAACTCTGTCCCAGAGTCAAGACATGAACTCAGAGCCAGCCACACCTGAGTTCAAGGGCTTGTACTGATCTGTCCTTGATACACAAGGAAGGCAAATAGACTCACCTGTAAAATGGAAATAGCGCTAGTACCTCCTGCCTTCTAGGCCTGATGAGAGCTGATCTAAAACGCTTGGAGAATGCCTGATACAGGTGAGTTCACAGTCCAGAGCAGGACACATATGGGAGAGATGTTCAGTTGTCTCAAGCCACATTTAGCTATAGTTGGTGGACACAAATGGCCTGAGCTGGTGGCCTCTCAGGGAGCATGCAACTCATTATACAGATGGAAAAAATCAAGACCCAGAGAAACTGGCCAAACCAGGAATAAAATGCTTCTTTCTGGAGCTGCCCCACTTCCTGGTGCAGGGGCCAGACCCCATATACAGGCCAGGCCACCATCTTGGGAGGGCTTCTCCATCCACAACTCTGCCTTGACCTGCTCAGCTAAAGGGAGCCCTTCTAGACAACTACTTCTCTCCAATTATTAGTGTAACTTCCTCATAGACCTGGCCTCCCAGAGAGGAGGCCCAAACACTGACATGATTTATAACTTCACACAAACCTCCTGCATTGCCCTCATAGGAAGGAGCGAGAAGTTCAGATATAAATGATGAACCCATTAAAATAAAAACACCCTCAAACTCCCCACAGTTCAGACAAGTAACAATTCCTTCCCAAAACACAATAACCCTCTCCCAAATCTGTTTATTACTCTAGCTTGGTATTTTTGTGAAGGCACCTCTTACTTAGGACATATTTATGCTGCCTTTCACCTTGGAAATGATCCATGTTTCCCAAAGAAAACGGGCCTTTGTGTTACATATTCAAATGTTTTCACTGGAGGGTTTTGCAAATTTAAAAGAAAATGAATGTGTTTACCCAGAATATATTAATTTCAAATGATTTTTAGTGTGTGAGTTAATACAGCTGTAAGGCCAAAGGAAAACAGGTGGATCACCGTTGCCAGCAGGAAGCTGTGTCTCCAGCTCCACCCCTTGGTCTCTCACAGTGGGAATGCAGGACTTTGTCTGACTGGGCCCCATTCCGGTGGGGACCAGGGCTCCTGGCGTGTCTCTGACACCCCCTATGTCTCTTGAGCTTGCCTGTCCTAGCAGGAAGCTGGATCCAGAGCTCTAGCTCTGGCAGGAGTCACAACTTCTGCTCAAGGCAAGCAAGCAGGTGTTCAGTCAGAGCCGGGGGCCTATGCCACAGCAGCTGCAGGATTGGTAGACTTGTCATCATGCGTAAAGAGGACAGTTGGGTCTCAGGTCAGTGAGTGAGCTCCCACCCCACTACTGATGGGATGATGCTTTAATAAAAAAAAAAAAAAAAATCCTTGGGATAGCCCCAGTGGCACAGCGGTTTAGCGCCACCTGCAGCCCAGGGTGTGATCCTGGAGACGCTGGATCTAGTCCCACATTAGGCTCTCTGC